CCTTGGTACCAGGATTCCTGCTGTCACTTCTGGTGTGACTGTGCTGTCCTTCCCCTTGTCTACTCTCTCAACTCTAAAGATGTGGTGAGCTTAGAAACAAACAGCCAAGCCGTTAGAAGTCCGTGTAAGGTAAGAGTGTGTGGTTCAGAGTCACAGCCAGAGCATCGTAAAGCCCTCGTACATTTCTTTAGCAAGTGTGTGTCGAACACCCAGCACGCTCACTCTTCTAGACAGTGGGGACATAGTGAATGCTCGTATTCCAACGGAGGGAGAAAGATTATAAACAAATACACAAATTAGTGCCTTCTGGATAAACGATGATTTACTGGACTTTAATTTTTGTTTCATAGTTCAAATCAAACGGCCAGCATACTGCCAGATTACATCATCAGTTAGTCTCCCTTTGTATTTGGGGAAAGGGAAGGACAGAACGTGGACAGGGATCACCTCTTTTGAGAAGTAAACAAATGGGTAGTTTACGGTAGAGTTATTAAAGAATACAAAACACTGAATATAAATAATGCTAAAAAGCACAGAATAGAGTATCCAGAGATCTGAGCAGTTAAGTCCCTTAAGCTCTCTGGATTCAATGTTTGTTAATAGGTGTTGCTCAAAAAGAGGGTTCTATAGGAGGGTCACAGCCAGGCCAGCTCTGGAATCGGAACAGGACACCTCAAGAGAATGCAGCCCTGGGAGCTCACAGCATGGCAAGAGGATGGAAGGAGTTAGAGGCCCCTACCTCCAGACGGGTAGGGGCCTCTAACTGAGTTTCATCCCCCAGCGCCCCCTGCCCAAGGCCCGCACAACACTGAACAGCCGCCCTGTCTGCAGCGAGGTTTGGGAAATTGCTAGGCGAAGCAGACACCATGTCCGCAGGCTTTCGTAGGCGGACATGCTGTACTGAATCACTAAGCGAAGAATGTGGCATGTGGCATTTTCAGAGCACCATTTTTGTGGGACCAGTATTCCTTAGAACACAGGCTGAGAAAAATGGAACTAGATTATTTGCACCAGTTCTTGTTTTTCTAAAATTATGGTCTCATCTGTTTTATTCTAATGCATTTTCTTTCCTTCCTTACAACAGCTGAAGTCCTCACTCTCCCCACCCCCACCACATCATCTCCAAACTGCAGTCTCTGCTTAAACATTCCCTTTGCTCCACTGCTTTCTCCCCCGGGGCTGTTTTTGTGGGGGAACGTACCAGGACACCATTCCAGAACCTCTTTCTCAGAATTACGTAAACCTGAACATTTGAGAATTCCGTTTTTAAGAGGTAGCTGTCACCAGCTTAACACAAGACGTCTTATGTTTAAATCTGTACCAATGATGGTTACTTCTCAAATAACAAATATGTTTACTTATAAATACATATGTTTATAGAGCACATTTGGTCCTCATAATTTGAAGCTGATTATAACCCACTTGCTGTTTCCTCCAACGACTCCCGTGTGTGAGGTGTGGAGGAGAAGCTTTCTGCCTTGACTTCCTCCTCCTCAGCTCTTGAATCCCACAGACTGCAGCGCTGTGAAGGGGGCACCAGTTCACAAACTGGCAAAATCAAGTCACAGACTTGAGTTCTTATAGCTTAGTCTGTTTTTAAGCTAAAAAAGCTATAGTAAGAAATTATATTAATTACTAATAAACATTAAGTGTTAGTAAAATATCAAGAGATTAGTAGGTTTGAAAAATGAACTACTGACCCTACAAAAGTTGTTTCTGATGTGGAGTGGGATCATGGAAAAGAATACCAACCAACATCATTTATTTTTTAATTTTTTTTAAAGACTTTATCCATTCGACAGACAGAGATCACAAGTAGGCAGAGAGGCAGGCAGAGAGAGAGGAGGAAGCAGGCTCCCCACTGAGCAGAGAGCCCGATGTGGGGCTCGATCCCAAGACTCTGAGATCATGACCTGAGCCGAAGGCAGAGGCTTTAACCCACTGAGCCACCCAGGCGCCCCCCAACATCATTTTTTAAGATGTATTGGGTCCATCTACCTGCACCTGTGAGCTGAGTTTTTATATATATCCAAAACAGCGCTCGGGCTTTTCAGGGTTTTCATAATTTGGCTGGCAGAAAATAGGACAGTAGCTCTTAGGTGGAATATATTTGGTGTTCATATATAATTTATGTAATTTATGTAATATTTCTGTTAACAGGAAAGAAAGTTTCTCATATAACTTTATCACCTAAGAATATCATTGGCTTCCTTCCCTAAGTATCTATATATGTTTTAACGTGATCTTTCTTAAAAGCTTTCTATTTTACAGTGAATTTGAAAGTGGAATCTTTATACCAGTATGCAGGGTTATTTAGAACTTAGGAAATCAGTGAGGATACAGCACTCTCTTTTGCAAAAATAGCATTTTATGCCAAATTCTTAGCTCTTTCAAAAATTCTCTTACCATTGTAAGTGGTGGATTCTCAAAAGTGAGCATGTGCTCAGCCGTGTTGCCAGAAACATGGCTCAGTGTTGGGAGGATTTGTTCGCCCGCTCTGGCAGCAGCGGCGGTCACGGTATGCTCTGTGTTCTCAACACCGGTAATAACTTCGTGAAGCAGAGCCATAGACGTTATTGATACTAGCTCAGTTTTTGTTTTTAGTAATTTCACCTTATAAACACTGATGTCGTTAGCTGCTGTCCCATTTGTCTCACTGCTTTTACTGTCTTTGAAAAAGACTTTTTTTTTTCCCCTTTTGCGCTTAAGTACCACCTGAAGAGCGAAGCCTTTTCAGGCCTGGGAGACTGGCCAGTGCCCTTTGTCCTTCTGTTCACCTACTAAAAGGTAGTATTGTTAACCTAATTCAGCAGGGCCGTGACTCAGTATAAACACTCCTCAGTAGAGCTAGAAAGACTAATTGAATTGTACAATACATCATTTTCAGCAACAGTTTCAAGTGGACTGTACTTCATTTCCCAGAACACCATCAGGTTTTTTTCCCCCCACTTAAGATATTTAAATATAGCAAATATTTAGCCGTGATAAAATATTTGAACCAATTCTGTTTTTCTCCACCGAACCTTGAGCTACATGAGGAGAGGGCCATGACTGCTTTATTCTCCACTGATGCCTGCTGTGGTATCTATGTGGCATGTACCTGTGTCTCCGTGCCTCAGAGTGAGGCATTATGTATCCCTGCCAACTGTTATTTCCCGTCCAGTTAAGTAGCGGAAGGTTTTGGCTAATTCTGGGTGCCTTTTTGTGAGCTGATTTGCAGAGACTGTGAACTTCACCACCTACGTAACTGCAGGACCCCCAAAGGATCACACAACAGGTACCTCAAAAATAATTGTTAATAAGGAGGGGCGCCTGGGTGGCTCAGTCATTAGGCGTCTGCTTTCTGCTCAGGTCATGATCCCAGGGTCCTGAGATCAGCCCGCTTTGGGCTCCCTGCTCAGCGGGAAGCCTGCTTCTCCCTCCCCAACTCCCCCTGCTTGTGTTCCCTCTCTCACTGTGTCTCTGTCAAATCTTAAAAAAAACAATGCTAATAAAGAAAAAAACGTGACTTTTATTAAGAAAAAAAAAAATGCTATTTTGTATCTCTTTATAACAAACTTTTGTATGAGTTCTATTTTATATTACAAAATACTAAATTACACAAATGTGTTTTAATGAACATATGATAGCCGTACATTTAGTTATCACCTATTCATATCGAAGGGTTCTCCTGGTTGGATCTGCCAGTGGTAATAACCTCTGTCCCACCCTTGGCCATCAAGTGAATTTCTGTTTATCCTTCGAGTCCCTGAGGCAGTATAGCCTGCTTTGCCAAGGGATCCCTTCTGCCCAAGAGAGCTGATTTCTCCTTCCTTTAAGCTACCAGAGGGCCTCATCCGTATTTCTTCTGTAGTAGAGGACAGGCTATGTGCTACATGCAGTTTTTGTTTTAAATATTTATCTCTGATACTAAATAGTGAGTCCCTTAAGGGTAAGGACTATATCCTATTTATCTTCATTAATACACTTCAAGCCTGGAATGTAAGGCATAGTGGATTTTCAATTTTCTTTTTAATAAGCAAAGTTTTTTTAATGTTGAACTCTACCATTACTCCCAGTACTAGAGCAGTTTTGGTAGAAACTTTTTAGAGAGGCTTTACCTTCCCTAAATAGAAGCTAAGCCAAATCTACGTATCATTAGCCAATCCACATCTGGTATCAGTGAATTGATATGTAAAGATTCCCCCAAATTCCCTACTTGTTACACATTATTTAAGCTACTCCTTCTGTATCTCAGATGCATTGTGTTTCTACTGTAATGAAGTGACATTTTCACTTTTTCATAGTCTTGATGTTTACTACCAGAAGTGGATGTAGAATTGGGTGGATCGATTAGTCAGTCAGCCCAAACTCAATGTCATTCTAAGAGCACTCCTTTCTGCTCACCAAAGTGTGTTTTTTCAGCCTGTTTTCTGCAGATTATCATTTTAAGCTATCCTCTTATCCCTTTTGAATTCTGTAATATGTACATGATTTACCTATTTAAAAAGGGCTACTTATAAAAGTTGTACAGAATATACGTGTGTGTAGTTTTTAAAATGAAAAATTAAAAGACTCTTAACAGCAGTGTTAAGTTTAGAAATGATTATCGATTCACAGGAAGTTGCACAGATAAGGAGGGATCCTGTATACCTTTCACCCAGTTTCTCCCATTGTTTACATCTTAGATCACTTACGGTACAATATCCAAAAAAAAAAAGTGGCCGTGGGTATCGTGGTCTATATAGTGCTGTGTCATTTTATCACATGTTGATTCGTGTAATCACCACCATAATCAAGATTCAAAATTAATGAATTCTTCTCCATGCCAAGGTTACTTTTACAAGTTCCCGGAAGAGAGAAAGAAAAGACACAATTCATATTTAGTTAAATTATGGGCTTTTTCTCTTGGCTTGTTCAGAAAATAATGTGCCTTTGATATTGAAACTCTGGTTCCTACTTGGAGGAGGTGTGGCAAGCTGGATGATTCGCCAGACTGACTGAGGAAGTTTCTTTCGTAGGTATCGAAGCAGGCCAAAGAGTTTCTGGAGTACGTGTACGAAGAGCCCCTGATCGACATCCAGCAGGAGAACCCCATGCTGTACCGGCACGCCGAGCCACTGGCCGCCGTGGTGCGGCTGCGGCAGCGGCTAAAATCTCTGCGAGCCTACCTGTTCAGCTGCCGGGCCGCCGTGGCCGAGGACCTGCGCCGCAGGTAGGTCACCGGGCCAGGCAGTTCCACTGGGTTTGCCTCTCACTCGGGGACGGCGCTCAGATCATCTCCCCGGCCTTCCCAGTGTGCACCCTCTCGAGTCTGCGCCTCTCCTGCTGGGCTCATCTTTGACTTTTTTCCTCCAAAGGCCTCTCTGGTTGAGCCCAGAAAAATGAAGGTAATTATCTCAGCGTAACTGAAGGCTTGTCATGCAGGGAACTAGTTTCCCACAGCGGTGACAACTGCTCTTCCCCTTAGGTTCACTCGAGAGGATAATTACAGGTGTGCCCTCACTGATCACTTCCAGAGTGTGTACACTTTTCCTAGTTCCATTTGTAAGATGAGCGTGTTTGAACTGTACCATAACTTAAAGACATCTTTCAGTGGAAATAAGCGGGTGGTGGTTTACTTCTTACCTTTCATACAGAAACTGGCATGGGAAGTGGCATGGGCGGTGGAGGCTGGGATGAAGGTGCACAGGCCCAGGATTCTGCCTTTTCATGTCCCCATCCGTGCAGGCTGCTCTTCCGTAGCTTCGTTATCGTCGCAGAGTTCGTAGAACAAAGTCCCTACCAGGTTCAGATCCTCAGCATAAAACTGAAGTTAAAATGTGCCTGCTCTCATCAGATTCCTTCTTTTACAGTTAGATTTTATGGGCATTTCAAGTCTCACCCTTGGCATATACGAACGAGCTTACACTTGAAATAATTGTTGATGGTATTCATGGGTCCCTAAAAATACCTTTTAATGTTTTAATAGAAATAACCAAAAGCATACCTTAGTCATGGTTTCTGGAGTTGAGCCTACATGCAAAAGAACCTTTGGAAAATACTAAAGTGATATAGTTTGTTATTTGAGATCTGGTTAGATCCAAAGAAACTGACATAACTCCAGCCATCTGAAGAAGACATTTTAAAAAGAACTTAATGTAGATAGTGAGGAATACATAATATCTAGACAAGCTCTCATAAAATAGTAATGAAAAGGCAGCTGCCATAAAACAAAATACCTCTCAGTGGTAGTCATTCTATTACCTAGTTGTTTTTCAGAAAGCACTAGAAATTGCTCAGGATTTATTCTTATAAAGGCTAGGCAAATCTTAATTTTAAAAGATCAGGGCTTTCCCTGAAAGGCAATAGGATTATATGGTTCTAATTTACCAACTAAATGAGATACAAGATTTTTAATGTTCAAAGTATGTTTGTTCTGTTCACTTTTGGCTTTGCTCAGAGCTAGTTTTTCTTGTGCCTATACTTCTAGACAGTGTTAAAATCTACACATGGGAATCATATTAAATTCCCTTTTTTTTTTTTTTTTTAAGATTTTTATTTATTCATTTGAGAGAAAGAGCAAGAAAGAGTGATTACAGACCGGGTGGAGAAGCATAGGGAGAGGGAGAAGCAGATCATCGCTGAGCAGGGAGCCCACCCCAGGGCTTGATCCCAAGACCCTGAGATCTTGACCTGAGACACCCAGGTGCCCCTAGATATCTTTCTGACACACTGTTTTGCTTTGAATAAATATGCCACTTCAGCGAATACATTTAGAAAGTAAGTAGATCCTCTCTTCATTTGAATGACTAAGAATACCTATGCTGTTCCCAAAGTCTGGTGGTTTACCACTGTGTTTTGCCCTATGGCCAGACCACCAGAAAAGGAATGGAAGTTCTAGAAAGAAGATACTCCTAGGACTATGAAAAGGAAGATAGCAGTCTTTTTTCCTTTCCCTTCATTTTTCTTTCCTCACTTGTTCATGACCAAAACTCAGTAAGTTTTGAATGGAAGGATGGAAAGGAGGGAGGGATGGACAAATGTCTACTGTGTGTCACTTGAGACCACTGAATGATGGCTAATAGCCCAGTTTTGAGGAGGGAGTCAGTCTTTGGATTTTATTTCTTCCTTAGATGTCCTTTAACACAGTGTCTGACCCATCTGCAACCCTCAAAAATAATTCTTGAATGAATAGATGAACTAAAAAACAAATGTCAAAAAAAATTTAGTTGGTTGTGTTTTGGGCATAAGTCTCAAATCTTTCCTCTCCTTTTCACTTTCAATGTACACCCTGGCTTGGAGTCTCAGGACTATTGCAGTATCCTTCCAACTAGCCTCACGTCAGTTTCTTCCCTCCCTCACTGAACCTTCATGTCAGGTAAATTATTAAGTACAAGTACGGAACTCAAGATCTATACAAATCTACTGCAGTATGTTGGTCTACTGTCAAATATCTTGTACTTCAAAGACAATTTAACTTACTTTAATGCATTCTGTTGTGGGAATTTTTTTTTTTCTTTTTTACAACTGAAGTGCATACAATAGTGCTTATACGTAGTAAGCATTCAATAAATACTATTATCAATACTGCTTTACTATCCTAGAATGTTCTTATCTCTGGCTTTAAAAGTCTGTGTTAGAAGTTTCCACTCAAAAGCCTCCGCTTGGGGCACCTCGGTGGCTCAGTGGGTTAAGCCTCTGCCTTCGGCTCAGGTCATGATCCCAGGGCCCCGGGATCGAGCCCCGCATCGGGCTCTCTGCTCAGCGGGGAGCCTGCTTCCCCCTCTCTCTCTGCCTGCCTCTCTGCCTACTTGTGATCTCTATCAAATAAATAAATAAAAATCTTAAAAAAAAAAAAAAAAAGCCTCCGCTGATGCCCTGTTGACTAGAATCAGTCCCTTTCCTGTTCCTCTGTCAGGAGAGCAGTGAGCCAGAGGAATTGGGTTAGAGAGCTCACTCTGGCCACAGGGCTTGAGGTTCCTGGGTATGTGATGCATACTTATTCATTCAGTTGTTGCATAAAAATGGGTGGGACAGGAGGTTCCTTAAGACCAAAGAATGAGATTCCTACAGAACCCTAGAGGAGGCACATTGATTTTTTTTTTTTTTAATTTTACTTATTTATTTTGACAGACAGAGATCACAAGTAGGCAGAGAGGCAGGCAGAGAGAGAGAAGTGGAAGCAGGCTCCCCGCTGAGCAGAGAGCCCGATGCGGGGCTCGATCCCAGGAGCCTGGGATCATGACCTGAGCCGAAGGCAGAGGCTCCAACCCACTGAGCCACCCAGGCGCCCCGGCACATTGATTTTTTTTTAAGAAATTTGTTACTTAGTTTCTCTATACTTGTATGGTGTTAACATTTGGGTTTACCATGTCTTCCCATCCTGGCACACCAATAACAAGCAGTACTTACACGGGGCTGGTCTTGACTTATTTTAAATCTTTTTATTTTGAAATAGGACTATTTCTGGGATGCCTATACTTCTTACAGCTGGGCCATACTTAGTATCATTTCTGCTGCCTTAAAGTATGCACTAAATAACCATAGGTCAAAGGGGAACCATTACCCACCAAATATGCTAAAATTCCTGTCACCAGAGGCCATCTCTTACCTTTTACCCTTATAAGGAGTCTGGCATTTTAAAAACAAAATTAGCCAACAGCACCCTTGATAGGAGAGATGATGAACTTAGATATAATATTTAAGGTTCCCTTTGTTTCACTTGGGAACTCAACATTTAAAGTAAAACTTAAACACAAGAACCTACTGGATAGAACATCTTATGTAACCTTGATAGAAATTAAAAGAGGAGTTGATGTGCAGCAGGGGAACAAAAGAGAGCAAGGGAAGCCAGTTCTTATCTAGTTGTGAAAGGCGTTTTCTCCTTGCCCGGTTTTTACCTCTGTATAGGAGTAGCCATTAATCCCCAGCAAGTAGGCCCAATGTGCTGAAGACCTGTCAGCACCATATAAACAGAATAAAGCAAACTGTTAATATGGCTGTCGTGAGAAAACTGAAAACAGACTGATTAATCGTATTGGTGCTTCCCCACCAGAGAGCTAACTTCGGTCGTCGCCTTATTAGGGAAGTCACAGTTTGCTTTTAGGCCTTTCATTATGATGACCGCCCAGTCTTCATCCTCAATATTCTTGTGATTGTTGTTAAATGAATGCCTTGTTCTTGAACCCATACTGCAAATCTTGACTGGCAGGGATGATTAGTTTAGAAAAAGTCAGTGTCTTCCATGAAGTCTAAAATGTTTACAGTCCTGACAATTCACAGTTCCTGAGGACTCCCAGATGGTGACCCTGTTGGATTGGTTCAAGGCCAGTTAACTTTCACGAGAAGAGTTATTTACAGTATCCACACATGAAGGTACATGAAGAACTTTATGGAAAATCTTAGCACTGCGAGGAGCAGCCATAGGGTAGTCTTTGGGAAGGACACTGAGAAGAACTGGTAGGGGGGGTCCCAGCCCTATATATCCCTCTGAAACACAGGAACAGTAGGATGTGTGTGTCTATCACATGTCACCAACAGGCACCTCGGGGCCAAATTTGGCCCTCAGACACGTTTCGTTTGACCTTCCAGGAATGGTCTCCTGGCTTTTAAAGTTGTGAAATAGTTGCTAACAGCTAAACAACCAGGAGCTTTCATGTGTACCCAGTGAAGCTCCGTGGTGTCTCTGAGGAAATCAGCAGCTCTGATGACACAGGGCCTCCCTCTTACCAGCTAGCAGCGGTCAGCGCTAGATCTCGGGCGCTCCACTTCGCAGTCTGACCTGCTCCTGTTCTCCCCAAACCCGGGGTCATTCAGTGGAGATTACGCTGTTGCCCTGTTTTCCTTCTCACCAGCCCCTTTCATTTATTTGTGGTGGTAGCTGGGCCCATGTAAGATAATTACGGTTTTATCAATTAAGAAATATATTATTTGTTCTTTACAGCAGTCCTTCTCGATGGAAAACAGATGGTACTTAGAAAGAAGAGAAAGAGCTGTGACTCTGAGCTGCTACGTGACTTGCCTGAGGTGGCAAAGCTGGTTAGCAGCAGAGTCCCGGCGCGGAACCGGGTCACTGCAGCTTTCCCTAGCACGTTTGCTGTTGGTAGTGGTGATGGCCAGAGGTCTCTAGACTCTTACAAGGAACCACGTCTAATTCTCCTAAAGCTTTGATCGGGGTCGTGTAGAAGAGTGCGAAGGAAGGCAGGGAGGTGGCAGATGGTGATGTCCCATGAG